CATGCCGCTCTGATTATACTAAGGAGAATTCACAGTCGCCACCTAGTGGTGTGGAGGAGAACAATTACAGGAGGTTCTGATTAATGTCAGTTTTGGATAGATAGATAGATAGATAGATAGATAGATAGATAGATAGATAGATAGATAGATAGATAGATAGATAGATAGATAGATAGATACTCTATTGATTACATAAACATATTGTTTAAAACCAATTATAACTGAAAATTTGACAAACTATATTTGTAGTCATACTTGTTATCTGCTGCTTTTATTCTCTTCTATTTTATTGTTTAATTCATGTAAAGCATTTTTGAATTATCTTTGTACTGATCTGTGCTATACAAATACACTTGGCTTGCATATGTGGGACTGGAAAACTATATTATATTCTGTCCAAATCCAGGTTTAGTCCGGTTAAATTTGATTGCACAAGTACTGAAAAACTTCAAATTTAAACTTCATTAATGATTTCTAGCATAGAAGATTATCAGTATTAATTTAGTTTATAATACATATCGAATGTATTATGAGTTATCAAATCAATCCATTTCTTTTTTTTTAAGATTTGTTTTATTAATATTAACAGAAGCTTTTACAAGATATTTATGGTGTATAGCAAGCATTTACAGTTATACTGAAAATTGTATTTTATAAAACAAACTTTTTGATATATAGTCTTACAGTCACACCATACAAGGAAGATGATTTTGGATTTTTAATACCAAAAGAAAAAAACGAAACAAAATATAACAAACTTTTCCCCTCCCACCCTCCTTTCTTTATGGCTCTCAATATCCTTTCATTTCTGTACACAACATATCCATCTGAGCACATTCATCTCTATATGATTCAACACACTATTTCTATCAAGGTACATAATTGTTATATAAGAAGAAAAGTTATATAAGAAGAGTCTGCAAAGGGCTAATTTGAAGCCGGTCCAGAAAGGCTCACCCCACCATCGACAGCTGAGGACAGAATGTTCTATGAAGGTGCCCCAGATTTTTTCAAAGATTGCATGTTTTCCTCTAACATTAAACAGTATCTTTTGGGGTGTGCAGTAAGATACAAGCTCATTGATCCATTATCTTACTGATGGGGAATTTCGGATTTCTAATTAACCGGGATACAATTAATTCACTTCAACCAAATTTTCTTTGGAGATGAAAGATTGAGTACCTAACTTTGAATTTGCTTATGGTTAAAGTTAGTTCATGAGATCAAAGTTTATCACATCCAGTGGCAGATCTAGGGGGTGGCTACTTGGGCTGCAGCCCCGGATGTTTCCCCAAGAGCCCTGGATCTCACTTCTGAGCTGATCAGAGTAAAATGTGCAGTACTGGAATTCACCAGAGAGTGACCGCATGTGCAGGAAAGCAGCCTGTAGCATTCTTGTGCAGAAGAAGTCCCCACTAACTGTTGCTAAACAGACTGATGTCCCCCAGGTATGTGAAGCTCTGACTGACTTCCAGACGTTCTTTGTCCTGGAGTTGTATAAAATTCTGTTCCCCTTGTGTCGGGAGCGCGCATTGAAGCCAGAGAGGCGAACATGGCGGATGGGACCATTTTCATTCATGTCAATGTTGTAACATCCAGTTTAATCAGCAGCTGTTGTCTATAAAATTGTAAAATAAATAAATAGACGAGGTCCTTTTAAGCTGTTTTGTGTTATTTTTTAAACGCCAAGAGAATCTGTCTTTTTCCAACTTCTGTCAGTTAAGCCTGACAGAAATAAAAGTCAGAAGTATTTATCATTTTTCACTGCTGATACAGTATAAGAGGACGGAAACTGGCTGATAGCAGGACACAAAAATTAAGATTTCCAGAAAAGATGAGAGAGTAGACTTTCTGGTAAATCCCGTTCTAATGTAAAATATGACAGATTACTGGATTAAAGAAATTTCTAGTATACTACATGCTATCAAACATAACATTTTTTGAGAATTTGGAAACAGTTGCTGTTTATTTCCTAAACATATGGGAGGAGGAGAGGAGAGAATGGATATTTCAGCTGCCTGGAATATTCCGTTCCTCCTCCATAACATGGGAAGGAATTAATTCACCTACAAATCTTTAACTGTGTTTATTCCTCTCATCATCAACAACAAATCCTGTGGATTTGGTGACATTAAATCATTATTTGCCAAAGTTATGAGAGGGAAATCGTATATTTTAGCCACCTGATATAATCCGTTTCCCCTTTGATGATCTTTATGAAATTTCTTTTCTGTTTAAATGTTTATCTAACAATTTACAAATATATTTCAAAAGAAAAGTTCAAACCAAAACAGCTGGACTTCCAAGTTTTCCAAGTTTGAAGATGTTTCGTTTTCCATCCAGAGAGCTTTCTCAATTCAAAATGTCTGAAGTAATGCTATTCCAGACATTTTGAATTGAGAATTGACATATTTTTATTAACTATTTAAGATTTCAAAATATAAAATAATAAATGTTTCAAACATAATATAGAAAAATAATGGCAGTTTCAAAATTCACAGGATTTGTTTAATTTTTCCCATGTTATGGGGGAGCAGATTATATCAGGTGGCTAAAATATATGATTTCCCCTTCATAACTTTGGCAAATAATGATCAAATGTCTCCACAGAGCTTGTTGTTGAAGTAAGAAATAAACACAGTTAAAGACTTGCAGTTAAATGAATTTCTTCCCATGTTATGGAGCTGGAATTTTTATGTGTGATAGTATGTAGTATACTAGAAATTTCTTTAATCCAGTAATCTGTCATATTTTACATTAGAACGGGATTTAGCAGAAAGTCTACACGCTCATCTTCACCCTCGGGGCTAAGCACCTGATCTCCTAGAATCCTAGATCCTCCCCTGATCACATCTATTGTCCATTTATAAAAAATTCAACCAAATGTAAATCACTTATACAACACAATTGATGGCCACCTTTAAGCACCTTTTTTTTGTAAGCATAAAAGCATTCTATTTGTCTGTTGGATGATTTTAGTTTTTAGTTTTAAACACACCTAGATTTTGTTGCTAATACATAATAAAATAACATATTTTGAAAAAACAAAAAAAGGTCAGGTTTTCTTACCCATAACACCACAAAGGTTGTATAAAAACTATTTTAATTACAAAACTGTATTTTGTTTTTTTTTTGACAGTTTTATAACCATAACCAATTTTAAGTTAACATGAAAGGTAGACCAATAATTAATAATTTGAATGGCAGATTGGAACCATGGCTTTAAAGTGCATACCACTGCCTACCGTATCGGATTGTATATGATTACTTAGCGGAAACCTGAAGTAAATTTCGAAGTCAGGATTAAACAATGCAACAAACACGAGAAGGGTCTCAGATAGTTTTTATTTTAAATGGACTGTGCACTTATTTTGAAATCCTTCTTTTGAGTAGTAGTAGTTTTAATATGAAAAGAAAACACCGGAAGCATTTCCAGAATTTTCAAAATTGGCCCCTCCCCCCGCGTCTGCTCCGCCATTTTCCTAAAAGCCAACAGTTCTCTGTGCAGTTACCGTACAGTTTCTCTGTCTGGTAATACCAGCTTTCTTGATTTTTCCTTTACAAATTCAGGTTTGCTAAAACCTTCATCAGCGCATCAAAAATGTCGAGCGAGCAGGGCGACAACAATACCGAGACAACTACCGAGCAGCAGCAGCAGCAGCAGCAGGAGTGAGTCACTTCATAGACGCTTCTTTTGTTGTAGCTAGCTTGGCCTAGTGTTTTTTTTTTTTTTTTTTTAATGCACTTATGTTAGCATTTATATTCAGTTATAACCAAAAAATAAGAACGTTTTAGGTGAAAATGTATACACGCCAATTGTTTTCAAATCGACAAGTTGGATTAAGGTTATTTATTTTTAGACTGAATCTACCAGATATGATGGCGATATGGGATCCGTCTATTTGCTGGCGCTATCTAAGTCGAGTTATTAATTCAGAATACGTATTATACTCGATCGTATTAATTATGGTGGTATCGCAATGCGATGCAAGGGAATGAAAATCCGATTGAAGTTTGAGTTAATTGTACGTTTTAGTTGTTTTTAGGCCTACTGGTGAGGGCCTCGCCATGTGGTTATAGCGTAGTCGTGCAGATTAGCCTTAAATCACTTCATTATTTTGGGGATAAACAGCATATTATCATACTGTTTTCTTTTTTGTTTAACATATTTTAACATTTTTACTTAACATATTTTCATTCATAATAACTATCTCTAAAATTGATTCGAAGTAATAAAGCAGATTGTTGCTTTTGAACTATTATTCTTATTGTTTTTCCCAATCCTTACTGTTTCAGAGAAATCAACGGAAAACCCAAGAATGGGTCCAGTTCCAGCAGGAAGGAGAGACCCCCTAAGAGAGGTGGAGGTGGTCGCTTTGAACCTTATGGCAACTTGAACAAGAGATACCGAGTGTTTGTCAGCAACATCCCCTACGACGTGAAATGGCAAGCCCTCAAGGACCTAATGAAAGAGAAAGGTAAGGTGTTTTGGTAAGATGTAATTGTCTATTTCTAGGTTGTTTTTCCCCCCAAAGAATCTGCATCCAGGGTCAATTGTTTTTGACCATATCACTTCTGTCTTGGAGTGGCACTTCAGATTTTTGGGAGGCATTTGGAACAGCATCATAGACTGAGTTGCACCAAACTTGTGCTGTGAACCTGGATGGAAAATGCAATCACCACCGTTTCCTTTGAGGTGTTTGTGGAGGTTGTACTTATTAAATTAAGTTGACCAATGAGAAAATCCCATGGATTGGGATCCTGACTGGCACAAAGAGGTTTAACCAGAAGAAGTGACTGAACAAAAAGGAAGCAAGACTCATGTTTTGATGCAAGGAATATCTTACTATCAGTTGGAGTATGTTACCATCCGTATATGTTGAATATGTATAAAATGTTGGAAATGTCCAGTTCTACGTAGGCACGTGCTGCAAATTTGAATTCTGCAAAGATGACTTTAGCTTTTATTTGCATGAAGAGTTGAATAGTCATGGAACACCAGTTTGATCATATGTGTCATTAGCCCTGCAATGAATTGTTACGCTAAAGAATGTGATACTAAGGGAACAGTTTTTTTGGGCTAGGAGGGCCAAGTGTTCGTTTTGTGTCAACTGTTGAGTTAAATTGCATTTTCTTTTTTAGGTGTGACCTTGACAAGCAAATGTTTTCTCAGCAGATCTCCATGTTGTGCCACACACAGCTTTTTGCTGGGGATTTCTGTGGGGTACAGGTCTACAAAACAAAGCTGCTTCTTATTGCACTGTCCTTGTTTCGAGGTTTTTGGTCACGGACGTCCATTTATTGAACAGAAATGTGACCTGGGACCCCAGCAGCGGTCACTGTCGATTTGGAAGTGGATATTTTTTAATTAAGTTCCCCCTCTTTTTTAATTTTATTTTTTATGCAGTTCTGAACCATATAAACAGGAATCCTTTTTCCAAGAATTTGTCGAGATTAAGAAGTCGGTATTTTTGTAGTTGTAGATTTAAGCTCAGCTGATGGGGATGTCTTGATGCTTTAGCTCAAGGTTTAAGATGGCACCATTCGACAAAGTACCACTAGGTTTGCCCTGAAATAGGCTAAGGATTTGTATGGGATTTAATTTCAACCTGAAATTTCATGGGTCATAAATGACATGGAGAAGGTGGTCTACAATGTTTTCGCCAAATCAGAAGGCTGTTGGTCATTTCAACAGTTGGTTGCCTCGGTCTATTGCTTTTGTTGTTTCTGGAGAATTCTAACAAGGACAGACTAAGAAGTCTTACAACATGTTTTTGTTAAGAGATCAAAGCTTGTTTTTGTAGACCTGTACCATATTGTGCTGCTGAGGTGCTGGGGGACAGCTCAAGACTCTGGCAGTCAGAGCTCAGTGTCATCGGCCTTCCTCCTTGTTTCTGCTCTAAACCCCCATTGTTCTCTTGGCTTCTCTCCCCTTGGTGTGTGTCGTCTCTGGAATCTGATTTGTAGTGGGTGATGTAACGTACGTGGATCACTTAATGGACGCAGAAGGCAAATCGAGGGTAAGTGCAAATACATACAATCAAAATACACGATTAAACGTAGACAAACATGTGTTTGTCAGCCTTGGTTTCGTTAGCTATATTGCTGGAAATGGTCTCGAATTGTAACGCGGTGGAGTCCTTGAGATGGTAAACTGAGGTGTGTTTTAGGTGGAGTCGTCTGTGCCACTGATTTGAGGCCATTCTGTAGGGTTGATGCTTTTAAAATAGCATTACTTGTATTCAGTCCAGTGGATTGAATTAGCTGATAATTTCCCTTTTGGTTTCTGGATTTGCTCCTTACGACCTTAAGGGGTTAACTCGGTAGGCTGTTGTTACAAAGCTGTTAGATGGTTTTGTTAATTGTAATCACTCAAACCTCTTCATTGGAAAAGATGTCCTTTAAAAATGTTTTACTGGTGTGGAAACCTATTGTTTTGTGGAGTTTCTCCCCTTTTGGATGTTTTGAGAAGAGAAACTGATTTTTTTTGCTATACCTGCTTGGTCGCCGACCGGTTTGGGGAAAATTGTCTAATTTACGTAGCGTTTGCCAAAACTATAAGCCTTTTCTGTATTTGACTTTGGTTTGTGCATGTTTCTATTTTCTACATTTCATTTAAACATTCAGTTAAATACCATCATCTCTAATTTCTTTTCTTAATTTTTTTTTTACTCTGTATTGCCTGTTCTGATGACTTCAATCAAAAGGGTTGTGCGTGAGTACTCAATTTATCTCGTTTGTTTCTATTGGTAATAGAATGCAGCACCCAGCAATTCTCATGTAAAATGTTCTCTGCAGTGTTGTTGAGTTCAGGACGGAAGAACTTATGAGGAAGGCGGTGGAAACTGTCAACAAGTACAACTTCAATGGCCGTCCTCTTAAAGTCAAGGAGGTAAGCTGCGGGGAAAAGTAGGAGAAACAAAATTTGGAGCTGTTCTGTAGAGCTAGGGTCTAGAAAGTTAACACTTGAGTGATGTTTATTTTGTTTGTTTAGGACCCTGATGGTGTCATTGCTCAAAGAGAGATAAGCAAGTCTCAACAGGGAGGTCACCCAGGAGGCCATGGAGGAATGGGGGGCATGGGAGGAATGGGCGGTATGGGAGGTATGGGAGGAATGGGGGGCATGGATCGCATGGGACCTGGATCAGGAGGCCCGATGGTCAACATCCCTCCCAGCCTGTTGAACAACCCCAACATCCCCAATGAAATCATTCATGGTCTTCAGACTGGCAGGATTGGAAGCACTGTATTTGTAGCCAATGTGAGTCATCCAGAGTTTCTTCACTAACTGAAACTAACATAAAATAAAAATTGTACTATTCAGATTAAAACACTTTAAAAACAGTACCTTTTTGGAAAGTAAAATAAAGGACTGGATACAGTCTTAGTTTTACTAACTGATCTCTGTTGTTGCAGCTGGATTACAAAGTGGGATGGAAGAAGCTGAAAGAGGTATTCGGCATGGCAGGTGTTGTCGTGAGGTCGGACATATTGGAGGACAGGGATGGGAAAAGCAGAGGAATGGGCACTGTGACGTTTGAAATGCCCATTGAGGCAGTCCAAGCTGTCTGTATCCTTTTTCATAATGAATGCACATTATTCCTTCTGTTACTGTTCATTGTTTTCTTGCGTTTCCTGTGTTTCCTTAATTATCCTACAGCTATGTTCAACGGGCAGCTCCTGTTTAACAGGACCATGCACGTCAAGCTGGTATATTGATAAACCTTTTGTAACAGATCACTTTTATTGCAATGCTGAGCATTATTTTGAAATGTGATGTCTATTTCAGGATGAGAAATCCCTCCCCAAAGATTTCGGACAACCAGATAGAGGGTCCTCTCTTCCCCGTGAGTACATTTTGAACACATTATTATTAGTTACTGCCTTTATAATAAAATTGTGGATTAAATCACTTAAGCAATAAGAGCAAAAAATCCCTGTGGTTGAATTTTATTCGTGTTTCTGAAAAAAAAAATTGCTTTTCCAATTAAGGTTCGTACATATTTTTGGAAATTAGATTTTGACCCAAATAGCTCTTGGAAAATACAAGTTTTTGCAGACAGAAGTTTAAAGCTTTTCTCTTCTAACCCTGAAACCAGGTGGACTGAGTGGTATTGGTTTAGGCCTGGGTCCCGGTGGTCAGCCAATTGATGCTACCATGCTCAACAGAGGCGGCGGCAACGTTGGTGGGATGGGAAACATGGGCCCCGGAGGTAACAAAATCTGTTTTTGGTTTGTTTCAGCATTAAGACTAGTGAAACTGTGGACTTACAAATGCTTTTCTCTCCTTCAGGAATGGACAACATGGGATTTGGCAATGTGGGCGGTCGCATGGGAGGAGGTAAGTTTTTAGTTGGCATCTGCTCTTAAATTTGAACAACAGATTTGTTGTTAATGCATTTTTTGATGTCTTCAGGAATGGACAACTTTGGTGGAATGAACATGGATCGGTTCGGTTCCTCTGGAATGGGCAGAATGAATGGTGAGTTTTTGGTAGGGACTCCCTAAACACTCCAAAGCAGGCGTGGTAGTCTTCACGTCTTGCTGGATGTTTCTAATGGTTTCATCTCTTGCATTATCAGAGGTGGACCGTGGGATTGGTGGTGCTATTGACAGGGAATTTGGGCGAAATGAAATGGGGATGTCTCGCAATAATTTTGGAGACTCCTTTGAAAGAGGAATGGGTCAGTACTTACTGGATTGTCCCAAAGACCCTGTAAAAAAACAAAGAAAAAAAACAACTTTCTGGAGCTCAGTTGACCATGTCGTGCTGTCTTTTTACTCTCTGCAGGAAATTCCCTTGGGATGGACCGCATGAGCTCTGGAATGGACCGGCTAGGAGGCAGCTTGGACCGGATGGGAGGGATGGATCGGATGGGCATGGAGCGGGTTGATCGTGTGTCTGACCTGGACAGGATGGGGTCCGGGTTTGACCGCATCGGCTCTGGGATGGACCGCCTTGGGCCAGGGATGGACAGGCTTGGACCGGGCCTTGACCGTATGTCATCAAGCATGGACCGCCTCGGCCCTGGAGGATTTGATCGACTTGGCCCATCTAGTTTGGATCGCATGGGGAGCAGCATGGACTTTGGCTCCTCCATGGGTATGGATCGCATGGGCAACACCGGGCTCGACAGGATGGGAAGCAGCTTCGATCGCATGGGATCTGCCGGAGGACTGGACCGTTTCTCTTCTGGTGGCCTTGACCGTATGGGCACTGGCATGGAGCGCATGGGATCTGGCAGTGTTGGCGGTCAGTTTGACCGCTCCGGAGATATGGATCGTGGATTTGGTGGGAATTCCTTTGGAGCAGCTGGAGCCGGAGGACCCGGAAGTGGTGGAGCAAACATGAGGAAGGGATGCCAGATCTTTGTTAGAAATGTAAGTTTGCTGAAATGTTCTTAGTTTAAGAAAAAATTGCCTGAAGTTTATACTTAATCATTTTTTTTTTTTTTTTTCAGCTGCCTTTTGATTTCACTTGGAAAATGCTGAAGGATACCTTTAATACATGTGGTAAGATTTATTTTTTTTTTCCCAGAAGGAAATTGAACATTTAATACTACCAACATTTTTATAAACCTCTCTACTTTGTCTTTGTACAGGTATGGTTCAGTATGCTGATATTAAAATGGAAAATGGAAAATCCAAGGGCTGTGGTATGGTCCGTTTTGACAACCCCGAAACTGCTGAGCGCGCCTGCAGAACCATGAACGGCTATCGCCTGAACGGAAGAGAAATCGACGTTAGGATTGATAGGAATGCTTAATTCACATGTCTGTGTTGCATCAGATTTAGTCCATGATGTTTAAAACGATCTGCATTATCAGATTTGTCTTTCCAGTATACTTTGTTTAGGACATATTTGTAGAATTTCATGTTTTAGTTTCACCTTTTTAGTTAGCAAATTATAGCAATGAATGTGTTTTTAGTTTTTGGTTATTGTACTTTTTAGTGACCAAACTTTTAATTTTTTTTCTGTCATGCATCACCTGTCATTGCCTTTGATCTGTGAGGTGTTTTGCTAAATAAATCTCAAAGATGTATAAATGGGTTTAAGGTCTTTTGTTTTCAACAGGATCATAGATGCAACCTAAAGCTTCTGAATGAATATATTTATCTTGAATTGAATACAATATCACACTGATTATTTAAAAAAAAAAGGAAAAAAAAGCTAATACAGAGAAGAATGCAGCTTATATCAAGGCCTCACGGTCTGGTTAGTTTATAATATAGTTATAAATGGCTTTTAAAGGAAGGTGGCTCTCAATGAGGAGGACCTTGTTACTTTAATGATGTTTACTGCTGGTGTTCTGCCAGATCAGCATACCTATAGCCAATACCCATTTATCCCTTAACTTTTGTATGAAAAATACACTTTAAATTACCTTAACAGGTGTGGATCCCTTTAGTCATCTACAAAAAACAAATTACTTAATTTTTGGCGTTTTAACTTTTTTTTTTGTACATAACTAAAGGGATACTCGCCCGTTGAGTTAGTTTAAAGAGCTTTTTCGTACCAAACAAGAGGGATAAACGGGACTAGCGCATGCGCATTGAGTATGCTGGTCTGACGACACCGGAAGTAATTACAGGCACGGTATCCAAGATGGCGGCTCCCTTGTGTCAGTGTTATCAGGTGAGTTCCTCGGACTTTGTTAATACTCCACATGCAGGGAATATAAAATGACAATAGAGGCGGAATATACGTTTAAGTAGTTTCGTAAATATGGTCGACGTTGAACAACATGACTTTGTTTAACCGACTAGTTTAATGTAGCATTGCTAACTGTGTGTTAGCTGTCATCGAGAAAAGCTGCATTTCTTGGACTATATTTGCCTGAACGAAACAAAAATTAATTAAGGCAAAGAGGGATTTTATAGGTGAAATGTTTTTCTATTCTATGTGTTCTTACAAATGTACTAATCCTCATATTTACCAAGTCCAGGACCTTTTTGTGTGTCTTCAGATATGTGTCAGAAGAGGCTTGGTTGCCTTCCCTTCCTCTCACCTGCTGCTACCGAACAGAACCCATGTTTACAGGACATGTGGACTCTCGAGGTTTCCACAGGTACTAGTACCACATGTGATTCCTTTCTGGAGTGAGAAGCTTTTAAATGGTAATAGCATTTCCAAGTACTGTGGTGTGAGAAAATGGATGCCCCCTTTCAGGATCTATCTGCATGTTTCAGGACATTCAACAAGTAAAAAAAATTAAAGTTAAACAGAAAATGCAGTTTGTAAATATTTTTATTTATAAGGAAAATAGGAAAACCTATGTTTAACACGGAATAAAAGTTATTGCCCCTAAAGCTGATAACTGGTTTTTCAAGCAACAGCAACGACTACAATCAAGGCTTTGCAATAAATCTCGCAGAGCATTGGAGGAATTTAGCCCCACACATATTTTCAGATTTAACCGAACCACACTGGTGGGTTTCTGAGCATGAAGTGGCCTTTTTAAGGTTGTTCCACAGCATTTCAGTGGAGTTTGGGGTTAGGACTTGGACTAGGCCACTCCTAAGTTCCCATTTCAGATCAATGTCCTGCTGCAAAACCCAGATTGAGGACACAGAGATGTCCAGATATCCTCCTTCAGGATATTTTGTCAGACAGCAGAATCTGTGTTTCCATTTATCACAAGTCGTGTTCCACAAGAATCATTCAGAAAAGCCAGACTCGGGCTCCGTATCCTGACCCAAGTGAGGCACATCTCAAGCTACATAATTGGGTTTCACCAAAGCAGACATCCCAAGTTCCAAAAACTCATTTCAAGGAGATACTTATCCCCCCGCCACCCGGGGACAACGGATCTGCACCCTGCCCCATACGTACACACTTAAGGCCAGCAGCTTTTCAACAGCTGTTATTAACTAACAGTCATTTCTTAAACACAAAACAGAACAGTATTAGTCTTTTATTTTCAATAATTTCAATCTTGTAGCCTTGACCATCAGTTGTGCTTTCTGTTTTTCATGGGACTTCCGCATGCAGTGCACCTCGTCACTGTGTCATCATTCCTCACCATGGCTGGTTCTAGACAGGGGCCAACGGGGGCCAGTGTCTAGATCATGTCCTGGTCCCTGTTACGGCCCCTGTACTGAAGACATATTACTTAAAAGAAATTCTAATAAAGATATGCGCTGGAACAGACATCGCTACTGATAGCTCCTTTGGATTTATTCCATTCTTTTCATTACAAATTCTGTTTTACAAATTATTCAAAAACAATAAGGCGATAGCTTCAGTGGGATTGAGTTAAATGTTTTTTAAATGTTAAATGTTTTTTTTTTCCCCACAACAAATAAAAGAAAATGCTAAAATTTTTACAGATGAACTTAGCAGTTTTTCTTGACTTCTAATTCAAATTTATAGAAAACAGTAGTTTTAACTTAAATTAAGTTAAAAAAAATATGTAAAATGCCTAAATTTTAAATGTATTTCAACCTCATAAGAAATAGAATTTCTATTGAACTTAATTGAAAAGTAATTTCACTACATGCAGCTCTCTTAATATATGTGAATACCTTGCCCTGAATTTTAATACATGCTTTTTTGTGCCCCCATGAAAACACGCTGGCCCCCTTCAGGCCCCCTGGTACATTTGGTCTAGATCCACCACTGTTCCTCCCCTTCACTAGACATGGATATACTTTAGTACATTCTGCTGTAAAATTAGTCCTATATTTAGAGGATTGATCCTCTGCCGTTTCCCAGGATGCACAGCTTTAAGTGGTAACTAGTGGTAACTGACTGCCAGAGAGTAACCAGAGAAAATTATTGGACTGATCCAATCAGCTCTCTGACAACCAGTCGCCTGGAACGCTGGTTGAACAGAGCATCACTTTGGACAGATACGCTGCACAGGTTTCAAAGGCAACCTCCTCCTCACACCCCGCTCTCTCTTGTTGTCTGCGCACTCGAAGTAGTTCTAATCCACACATGATGCACGAATTATTGTCCTGCCTGCTCGCTCTCACTCGCATTGAAAAAAACCCACCTCACATAGTCTAAAATCCGGGATAATTTATCCAACTCGCGGGCATCTGTGAACAACTATCTATATCAGGGAGACTCCCGGAACTTCAGGGAGACTTGGGATGTCTGCCAAAGGAATGCCTCGCTTCCTTAATGTCACAAATGCAAGTCGGGTTCAACTAATCAGTGTTCATGGAGTCCATTGACAAACCATGGTAAAATGTCATCATGTCCTTATTTCACCTTCTCAGAGCAGCAGTTCTGGTAGAAGCCTGTCGGAGAAAAGAGATAGCAGGTCATTACTGATAGATTAAATGCATCACCTTTTATATTAGAGAAATTGTTTTTAGAAAATATCCTAATTAAATTTCAACATTTTAACAGTGTCAACTTTGACAACCTTAGCCAATAGTCTTTAAATTAAATCGATATGGATTGGGTTTTTTTCTTTAAATCTATAGGTCTGAAGAGTTTAGACATAGTTTCATTAACTGCTTTTAATTTAGATTTAGTCAGACTTTAGTCAAGAATGTTGCTTGGACAAAAAAACACTGTAGTTGATGAAATAACTTATTTTTTCCACTTTAAAGTAACTTAAAAATGGTTAGTAACACTAGTGGTGAGATGCATACCTGGCCACGGATTAAAACAGAGTCAAAAACACCTCATTCATTAATTGATCTGTCTCTTTATTTTAACACCCCTCAGGTTTTGAAGCATCAAAACATCCCCAAACCATAACACCACCAAAAATTAATAATATATATTTTTTAATTGTGTCACTTTTTGCACTGGATGTAATTACACAGTTTTTTAAAGGACCATTATTTGTGTCATAACTCCAAAGAATATTTTACCAAAAATAAAATGAGACTAACTTTAATGTTATTTTGGCTCAGCAGTGGTTTTGGCCTTTGAACTCAGCCATGGAGGCCATTCTCCTTCTTATAGTGGAGGCATGAACACTGTCTTTAACTGAGATGATCTCAGTTTGGGTCTTTTGTGACCTTGATGAATTACTGTTTTGTTCTTGGGATGATTTCGGCCAGCTGAAAACTCCTAGGAAGGTTCACTGCTTTCTCCACTGTTTTCTCCAATTGTGGACAATAGGTCTCCCTGAGGTTTACTAGATTCCCAAAGCTTTAAGTATGGCTTTATAAACCTTTCCAGACATGTAGATCTAAAGGGCTTTCTATTCTTTCTATATCTGTTCCTGAATTTCTTTGGATCTCGGGCTTTTTTAGGATCTTTTTGGTGAACTTCATTTTTCACTGTCAGACACATCCTTTATAGGTGATTTTATGGTTTAGAACAGCTCTGGCTAAAGTAAATAAACCCAGGTGAGAGAAAGTAGAGTTGTGTTATAACAAGGATAGTTCAATTACTCATTCAGGACCTTGTAGGTTTGAATTAGTTTTTCTTTAAACCAAATCCAGAAACCTTCATTTAAAACAAATCTACATTTTTTTTTTACGTGTGTTGTTTTTGACCAATTTTTAAACTTTTTCTTAAACAAGTGTGAAAAAATATGCAAAATAGAAAGAGACAAATATTTTCTCACACCACTTAATGTTCTGCTTATTCTTTACTGACCCTTTGTGGGGAAATTCAGTAAGTGGCAAAACAAAAAGACAAACGGAAACATACAGGTTCACACATCAGAAAAAAAAGCAAAAAAAATAACTTCAAGACTAAGAACTTTTAATTTTAATCAAAAACAGAAAAAAAAAAAATTGGTTGAGGGAGTATTTGATTTTATCTCCACATCTTGGTTATGAACTTTTCTTCCTTGATTTCTCTCATGTAATCCCAGGAAAGTTAATGAAAGTTTACAGCTGTAACCCCATTAAAAACCCCAAATGGGAACAAATAGTTTCTCTAAGACATTCTACTGTTATGATTGTAAGAGTGCCATAAATGTGTCTTTCTGTTTTAAATCTCATAAATCTAATGTTTTGTTGTGCCTCAGCCTCCTCTTCTTCAGGTGAGGTATATGTCGGGGGACAAGAGTGGAGGGAGAAAAGGTTTCCTTGGGGAATTTTTGGATAACCTAAAGCAGGAGCTGAACAAAAACAAAGAAATGAAAGAAAATATCAAGAAGTTTCGAGAAGAGGCCAAAAAACTTGAAGAGTCAGATGCACTGAAACAAGCTCGGAGGAAATATGTTAGTATCTCTGCCTACACAAAATTACTTTGCACTTGATTTCTTGTTCTGTTCTTTCACTTGATCGTTGCTCCCCCGCACTTTTGTTTCCTAGAAAACAATAGAGTCAGAAACGGTGAAGACCTCCGAGGTCCTGAAGAAGAAACTGGGAACCATTTCAGAGACGGTTAAAGAGGTGAATGTGAAATGCATCTTAAGCTTTTCGCAGCCTTTTTTTTCTCCTGTTTTTTTGTTTTGTTTTTTTTTCTTCACTAAATTGGTATAGACTGTCTTTAATTGTGCTTGCTTATTTGTGTTATGGACAGGGGCTGGAAGAGGTCAGTCGTACAGAAATTGGTAAGAAAATCAAAGAGGGGATGGAGGAAGCAGCCAAAACTGCAAAGACATCGGCAGAATCGGTCTCTAAGAGCGGAGAGATGCTGGGGAAGACTGGTGCGTTCAGAGCAATATCTCAGGTACGAACTTTAACTGAGGGATTTATAATTTTACTATATCCTGACCTAAAGTTAAGTGGCTCTAATTGTCATTTCTCCTAATTTATTTATCACCAAGTTAAATATCAAACAAGATTTAAATTAAACAGACAAATAAGAATTTTGAATGGAAAAATGTTGTATTTATTGTGATGAGCCACCTATTAATGTTTTTTAGAGTGTGGAGAGTGTGAAGAAGGAGATTGGTGACCTTGGCCAAACTGGACCGTACAAACCTCCAGCCCGACTCCGCAAGAGGACAGAGTTCTCATCCAAGGGGGCGGGGGAGGACGGAAAGGTCTTTGAAGCCAATGAGTAAGTGAGTGCCCATTGAGTCCTCTGATACTGAGAGGGAGGATTGCTCCTCTGCGTTACACAAACCAGTTCCGCTCATTTTGCTGTGAGCAGTGAAATGAAAAACTATAGAGTGCTAAGAGTTTATCCACGCAAACACTGATCCATTTCCATCATTAATTCTATCAAGTTCTGCAGTTTTTTTAGGGCAAAGCTTCTTAATCTATGGCGGTGTCTCCTAAAGAGGCAACAATAGATGATCTTTATCTAATAATTTTATGCAGGTATTATTTTGTGTTATAATTAGAGCTGAAACAATTAATTGGATTAATCGATTATTGAAATAATCGTCAATGAATTCAGTAATAATCATTAAGTGGAGTACATAGACTGTGCCTTTAGCAGACAGAGCGACCCACCTTGAGCAGCAATTATACCAAAATTGTAAAAAAAAAAAAAAAAATTATATATATGTATATATATAAGCATTTTGCATTTAAGATAAAAATATTTTTGTCTGTCAATATGTTCTATCCAGAACTCCTCTAATGGAAAACTTTTAGTTTTACCTGGTTTAATTTAGCAAAAAAAAAATCCTCTTTAAGGAACCTTTGACTATCTGATTATTAATTGAAAAATAATCAACAGATGAATCGATTTGCAAAATAATCGTTAGTTGCATCCCGAGTAATAAAGATGTTTGAGCTGAATGACAGCTTTAAATCTGTATCTTTTTAAATCTTTTTTAGGGAAGCTATGGGTGTGGTGCTGCACAAAGACTCAAAGTGGTACCAACAATGGAAAGACTTCAAGGACAACAATGTGGTCTTTAATAGTAAGGGATATTCATCTTTATTTTACTCTTTCTGTGCATCTGTCATTGTTTCCTAATTGTTAGAACATTGTTTTTTTTTTGTCTTTATTATGCAGTATATCGTAAAACGTGTTTTCGTGTATTGTATTATCTTGTGAGCCCAGTAAACTAGCCCCGCCCGGCAGCGGCCAAAATAAATTTTGCCTGTGTAAATTACACATTTAATCTCACATTTAGTCTGGTTTATCAGGCTACTATCTTGTAGCATATTGTACTCAGAGATCCACTGCAGATGTATAAATTTCTATTCTTAATGTTTTCAGTACAATGAACAGATTGGAGCTTCCACTGTTTAGTTCACAATTATATCAGATGATCTAAAGTAACTTATTTCTGTCAGTCCTTATTTCATCTTCAAATGACACAAATAGCATTTTATTCTCACCATTAAACTCACTTTAAGGTCTCTGTATGTAAATATCTGAGATTGTAAGTATTATATTTTTTCTTCAGTCTTTATATAGTCTAATTCGTTCTTTGTTGCCTTAAGGGTTCTTTGAGATGAAGATGAAGTACGATGAGAGCGACAACGTCGTCATTAGAGCTTCTCGTGCTGTCACAGACAAGATGACTGACATCATAGGTAAGAGATCACTGTGTCAGACTTTATAGCGGATTTTCTGATTGTTTTCAAAACCTTGTCAAGGTGCATATTCACTTTATATCTAAACAAAAAAGAAATTATCATCATAGAGTAAAGTTATATAGATGAAGCTTCCATCCTAATAGTGTTTTGATACCATCATCTGTCGACAGAAATATTAGATAGCCTGATGGTGACAACTGGTGCAGCTTCTTGATAGAGCCCAACAGTTCTGTGGTGCATCGCAGTAGAGCGGCTGCCTGCTTTGGTCAAATATTAGTTCATTATTTAATTAAACAATCTCAACTTATTCTCAAACTTTAAATGGGTAAGAAGCCCGGCTCGCTGGCTTGGAGCCGGGCGTGGAATGCGAGCCACCCAGTGGGCCACTTTTGGTAAGCAGAACTGGCGCTGCGGGATGAACCGAACGCCGGGTTAAGGCGCCCGATGCCGACTCTCATCAGACCCCAGAAAAGGTGTTGGTTGATATAGACAGCAGGACGGTAGCCATGGAAGTTGGAATCCGCTAAGGAGTGTGTAAAAACTCACCTGCCGAATCAACTAGCCCTGAAAATGGATGGCGCTGGAGCGTCGGGCCCATACCCGGCCGCCGCAACTCCAACTTACAGTGAATTATCCCCATTGCCTCTTATTAGAACATTATGGGGAAAAAAATCTAATTCAAACAGGGACACAGAATCAGTGTAAGAAATAATCACTCTATTAATAATGACATTGTTAGATTGACTGTAGAGATTTAGGCCCAACACACTTGAGCGGATTGGGAGGAAGACTCCCACCCCTGTTAGCCTCTGTTAGCCTTCATAGTGGATCGTTGCCTTTTCCTACATTTCTCCTGATGAATGTCTTCACTTCCCAGACTGTCATGGGTTCATCAAATTAGTTTCTCTTCTAAAAAGGCAAAAAACAATTTATAATAGTTTCTCTTGTTGATGTTGTTTTTGCTTTATATAACTTACTTTTTTCTCTCTCTCTTTTTGTTTTAAACCAAACGCTTAAAAACTGTTTTGTTTTTGTGTTTCCAATCTTGACTACTGTTTTTGGTGTTTTGTTTTTTTAGGAGGACTGTTTTCAAAGACAGAAATGTCTGAGGTTTTAACAGAGATCTTGAAGGTGGACCCTTCCTTTGATAAAGATTCTTTCCTGAAACAATGTGAACAAGATATCATCCCAAATATTCTGGAGGTATGTTGACCATTTATTCCATTCATGCATATTCTCTGTCAGTTCTTTATTTAAAGTCTGATTGTTCATAAATCTATGGGGAAATTTTACAATTTGAAGAAATAATGACTGTTATAGCGTGTAGTATGGATTTTTTGAATGCTAGATCTTTCCTCCCAAACATGTCGGCATATATGTTTTATTGTGCAGGCGATGATCAGAGGGGAGCTGGAGGTACTGAAGGACTGGTGTTATGAAGCGGTAAGAACATCAGTTGGAGATCTTCTTGGGCCGTTACCAAGCTAATACTGTCCATAGCTCTTAATCATTTGAACTGCATCTACTGAGAATGTGTAGATCTAGTAAAACTGTGTTAAAGGGATTTTGTTTATGATATTTTTCTTTTTCCTTTGGTAAACAGACTTACAGCCAACTCGCACATCCAATTCAGCAAGCCAAAGCCATGGGACTTCAGTTCCACTCTAAGATTCTGGACATAGATAATATAGACGTAAGTCTTAGACTCAATTTTTTCTAGATTAACATTTACTTGATGGATGCTTTGAAACAGGGACTTTAGATCAATTATCCTATAGCTAAAAGATCCCTGATTTACACATTTAAATGCTTTATTAACAAACTCTGGAAGCAGCGATTTGATTCAGCTCAGGATTTTACAGGTTTTTCCACATGTGCTGAAAATGAATTCATGAAATATTAGACACTGTCTTCCTGTTGATATGATAAAAACTAATAGTCACTAAACGTGACTATTAGTTTGCTACTTGGACAAGGTCACATCGCTGAATTTGAATGCCTTTTAAGAACATCAATTACCAGAGTAGATAAGCCAACATATGCTCTATATTTTATTTGATTTGTAGATAAGATTTGATTTCAAATTTGGTTTGTCTAATGGCCTTTATAAGAGGAGATCTGCAAGAAGAAATGCAAATAACACTTAGTAGAAAGTGCTTGAAACTTGACTGACAGCAACACATTTATTAAAATGTTTTTCTGTTACTGATTTGTGGTGCATGCTAGATTGAAGCCTCCACTTCCTGTTTACGTCAGTCATGCATATGTGCCATGCAAGTAGAATTTAGCACTTTTCCACACAAAGTTTACTGCAAAGTCCCGCTATAATTGATTCTGAGCAAGCAAGCTTTCAAGGTCATGATAATTATTTGTTGCAGCTTCATCTTTTTGGCTGTTTTATTTCCTTTTCCAGTTGGCCATGGGGAAGATGATGGAACAGGGTCCAGTGCTGATTATCACCTTCCAGGCTCAGTTGGTCATGGTAATCCGAAACACCAAGGGAGAGGTGGTGGAGGGAGACCCTGTAAGTGGAACGACACACTTTTCATTCAAAAATCAAAACACAATTTTTGTTAATAGTCTTAAGTAAATAGTCTTTGTGCTCAGAACACACTAATTGATTTTCTGCCTATTTTTACCCATAATTCCCACGTTGTGAAAGTCTCAGTTTAGACTACTTGCATTTAATCGGCAGGGTGAAACGACAGAAACATTAAGAGTCTGCACTTGTGTGAGAGGGGCCGACCTGACCTCAGACACATACAGTTCAGTGGAGTGAAATGATCACTGAACAACAGGAAACATGTCGATGATAACAGCCATGAAAAAGGGAGGACAGACATGCCAACAGTTGCAAGAGGAAACATTCTTAATCAAACACCTATTTGTCATACATTCTTTACTTTCTTTATTTACATGACCCAGTCCAAACATTTTATTATCGTTTAAAAATAAATGAAGTTTTTACAGGTTTTCCGCGGTTATAAAAAATCATTAAAAGTCATTAAATTGTAATTTTTTTAACTAAGGCCTTAATTGGCATTAAAATCAATTAAATGTGATTATCGGTGGCTTTTAAATGCTTAAATAAAATAAAAAAGTTTATAAAAACGATTTCGTCAGATATATGAGTTGTAACTGGTTCCGTGTGTTTGTGTGGAACTTCTTCCGGTTGATCGTAAAGCTGTACGTTCGGAAAAGAAGCTCAAGGCGGAGAAAAATGTAGAGAACGGAAAAATGCAAATTTGAACAAAAGTGCCTGGAAAACGAGGAATTGGGGACAAGGCTGCAGCCTGTTGACGGTAAAGATGATGGAGGATTTTGCCGTGTTTTTATATATATATATATATATATATATATATATATATGAGAGTTATGGGTACTTGTTGATGGCATTAAAATTATTTCCAAGAGCATTAAAAAGCATTAAATTAGAGTTCCTTATTCCTGCATAAACCCTGTTTTAGCTGAACCCCCACACTAACAAACTCAGAATTAATGTGACAAAGTATACTGTTAAAACTTACCAAATCACAAGGGAGTTGAAGCTAACGTGTTTTTAATAGCGTCTCTGTCACTATATAGTTGAGCAGCACAGAAAATAGCCTGTCAGATAAATCCCCTAGTCTGTGATCTGTCAGTATATCCAGGTTTTCAGCAAGTGATCAGTCTAGCTGGCCTGATTATGGGAATCCTAATCTTTTTAAAACCATGAAGGTCATTTCTATGTTACATGCAAACAGGTTATAATCAAAGCAATTTAGGTTTGTAAAAACTCACTGAACATATCTCCTATTTCCTTAGCAAGATATTTTCCTCAGTTGAGTTTAATTTACAATTTATTTGCAGTACTCAGTAGGACATTTAGGTGTTCAGTAAAGCCTTTTATTGGCCTAAAAAAAGATTCCGATTCATTTTATGAGCTGTAAATCTGCCATGCTATTTCCTAGGGGAACCTCTGGACTGTTTAAATGACAAAGAGGTCACTCCGTAACATGCAGCTGGCGCCTGCCCAGTTGTTAAGAGTGTAATAGCACTTCAACAGGATGGAAGGCATATAACCCAATCAGTTTTATGTCTTCAATTAAATGTCACCCGATGTCCCTCATGGACTGCTCTAATTTTTACTGAACCAAGCCTTGATGTACCGTAACTCGTGACGAAAAGAGAATATTACCAAGACACAACCTGCATTAAGACTTTCACTGAGCACATTTTACAGAAGAAGTCGTATAAGGGTCTGTAACCAGAATTCATCATTGTCCATTTTGTTTTTTGTTATTTTTTAAAAAGAAAATGAGAGAATATAAAATATCATTATTCAGTTCTTTTGTCCTATTACCCTTCCCTAGATAACCATGTAAAGCCTACATTTGTTTAGCTGCTTTCTCCATATTTAAAATCTGACGACTAGAAACTTTCATTTTAAATCTAAAGGAAATTTCGTATTAGTCAAATTGAATGTAAACAATTGTTTCTTTATGTTTGGTGTACATTTGCTGTATTGCATTGTGAAAAATTGTAACATTTATGTTTTAGGATAAGGTGCTGAGGATGATGTACGTGTGGGCTCTGTGTCGAGACCAGGAAGAATTAAACCCATATGCTGCCTGGAGACTACTGGACATCTCTGCCTCAAGCACTGAGCAGATCCTCTAGGACTCTTTGTTATGCATTAAAAAAAAAAAAAAACACCAACCCAGGGAGAGAACACGCTGTACCTGAACAGACCCAGTAGCTGCCTGGAGAGGAAGAGGAAGACGTACAGGAATCAGCAGATATGGCATGGGCTTATTTCCACACCCGAACACCATGGATCAGTGATGCTAACAACAGTATGCGCCTCATTATGACATTTTTTAAACTATATTTTCCATTGTATAACTTATTTTGAATGTTATGGTTGTTAGTGTCCTTTCCTATGACTCACACTAGAGGGCAGCAGACCACCAAAAACATTCACCATAGCAGGGTTTAGATCACTCGCATTCCTCTTATTCCAAGGAATAATAAACTTATTAATTATGATTCATCTATTTTTTTAGAACACCATGGAAATGCACGTATTCTGATTTCTGAATCATGTGGGTCGAGTTAGTTTCTCTAAAAAGAGCTCCTCCTCTGCTCAGTCCATCACTTCTTTCTCTTCCTTTGATTTGTCCTATTCTGATCGGTGGTGTCGGAGCCAATCAGAGCTCTGCTGTCCTTGCTATTACTCCTGTTTGTATGGTAATCATGATGTATAATTGTTAAACTGTCAACGAGTCTATATTTATTATGAAAAATAACAATTTTTTCAAAAATAAAAGACAAATGAGAAATATTTGTTGGAACTTTTTTTAATGTGTAACATTTAAATGGTACAGTGTTGTTCTACTGCAGTTATAAGTCTTTTTTTTTTTAGCAATTTTTAAATGTTTTTAGCAATGTCTTTTATATTTCTTTTGGGAAAAAGGAAATCCCCTTCCAGATATTTGTATGCAGCATTAGAGCCTTACTTGGAGTTATTTTTTACATATTTCAGGCTTGGCAGTTATTAGCATGCTGTTCATTTAAGGTCTTAACAACAATAAAATGTGCCATTCTGCAGTTTTTTAAATGGTTTTTTTTTTTATCAGGTTGTTGTTAAAACTTCAGTGCCGCTAATGGCTATAAATGTACATCTGGATGCTGTATCTATCAGAGTCACACAGCTTTGAATAATTAGCAGTTAAAAATGTCTTTTTATGGATATGAATAGGACAAAAATGACACCGTAAGCACATTTTCTGTATCTTTAAAGAAAAATTTTGCCAGTGTAGGGGGGAAAAAAGCAGTTTTTGAAAAATACGGCTACATTTCTTACACATATGACTTTTCATAATGACTTATTCCTGATCAGATTTTGGATAGATTTTTCTCAACTTTACTCCACAGTACCTTTCGAAAGACATTAGATTCCCTGAGCCTTTTCACTCATTTAACCAGCAAATATTTATTGTTATACAATAACAAAGTGCAAAACTGTAAGACTTAATTTTTTAGTTAAGAGGTTAGTTAGACATAGTAATAAAAGCGTGAAGACCAAGGAAAACATTCACACAGGCCAGGAAATAGATTCTTAAACTGGTTAAAACGCAGAGGCGGCAAGTGCATTCCTCTAATGCTAGTTATTACACATTCAGTGCTGACTTATTAACCTTTTGCAAGCACTTGTTTCTGGTACGACTGGTCCCTGACAGTAAATGTTATCAATGACCTCTATAGCTGTTATCACAAACTTGGTTTGTACCTAAATTTCTATCTGTTCTCTGCTCAGAATTCAAAGTAATAATCTCAATTTAGCAA